TGGACGCGACGCGAGTCGGTCGGTCGGTCTGCCCGCGGGCTCGCCGCTCTGGGCGTCCTCTGCGGGCTGCGAGCTGCGGCTGCTCCGGTTTTCTCTTTACAACGAGGCTGGAGGGTGGGCTTTTTCCCCCCTCTTTTGCGCGCGTGTGTACATGTGTGTGCGCAAAATATCTCTCCCTCTCAGGAATGAAAGATGGGCGCTGGCGACCGGAGGGGAACCTTCAGGGAGGCAGCGGTTTGGGGGGAGGCCTTGGGCGCGCGGGAAGGCAGGCGGGCCGCTCCCGACTGCAGGAGAAGTTGCCACCCTTTCAGCTGTTCCGGCCTTTATAAAGGAGAAGGGAGAGTGCGAGAGGTGGGTGGAGACAGCCTTTCCTCTTCTGGCCAAGAGTCAGCGCCAGGAGGGGGGCAGAGCTGGAGGAGGCCCTGGGGCGAGGGCGGGGCGGTTAGAGGGTCTCTAAGAGCCGGGTAGCCTCAGCTGTCTGAGAATCTGGCCCCTGGGAAAGAAAAACTAGGGGCGACCACCGCCTCACCCCTCAGCATGGCGACCTCCACAGGTTAGGCGCCCACGTGGTTAGGGGGATGTCTTGAGACCTGCCAGAAAGCTAAGTCGCCCTCCACAAAGGACTCGGCTCTGCAGCCTGACAGCTTGAATTCAGATTCTGTCTGGCTAGAGTAGCTGGGTCACCTTGGGCAAGTCACTTTCCTTCTGTGCTCCTCCATCCAGCCTCAGAGTGGCATTGCTTATTGTGTGGATGAAATGTCAGGAAGAGCAAAAAGCATCCAGCAGGAGCCAACCACAAGGTGAATGCTCCAAACCCCGCAACGGCACCATTCAGCTGCAAGCCGGTCCGTGTCTCCTCCTCCTAACTGGTTGCCTGGCACACAACAGACTCTGCCAGCATAGGCTGAATCTGAATTTGTGGAACTGCAAAGTCACACAAACCCCCACAACGCCGCAGCATCCTGGCAGGGCTGCCACCATGATCCTGCCGACACCCTGATGTTTACTACCTCCCTCGCCCCCGACTACAGGCCAGGGGCCTGCCCACCCACACCAGCGTTCACGCAGTTAACGCCTTCCACTCCCAGCTCCGAGAGCTGCTGTGTCCCAGCCTCCAGCAGTCACACTGTCACAGTGACACAGTCACACGTAGGCACGCTGAGCCCAGCACCCACCATAGGACCGCAGGCTCTCTGCATCGCACAACCTCCTGGCTTTAGGACACCTTGATCTCATTCGTTTACACTGTCTCTGTCACCTGCCTTTTGTAGCCACGCACATCCCTTTGGAGTGCCAGCCCCTCCTCCTGCGGGCACACCCTGAGCACACCAGAGCCTCTCTTCATGGTCCTAGATGGGGTGGAGCCAGCCAGGGAAGACTTCCCAGGTGGCCTCTTTACCAGCAGCTGCAGACACCCACCTTCTGTGGCTGGGAGGCACCCTGGGCAGAGGTGGCCTTGGTTCCCATCCTGGGGTGTCTCTGGGAGGATTATCCTCTCAGTACCTTGCTTTTCTTGCCTGTGAGTTAGAGATGTAGTTGTAGTAAGAGGCAGGAAGGGATTCGAAGGGACATGGGAAATGTTTAGGGCGCTATGGAAATGTCTGCTGTCTGCAGTGATGGGTTCCAGGGCATACTCACGGCGCAGAACAGACACATCCCTTTACTGTACCTCAGTAGAGTTGTAAAGGAATTTTTCCCCACATCCAGAGCTCAGGGGAGACAGTCCATGCTAATTCAGGCCCTGCCCTGGACAGACATGAGTAAACAGTTACACCAAGGAGGCAAAGTGACAAGCGAGATGCGTGGGGGTCACGAACACACTGCATTTGATGTCTAAAGACTTAGGGGTTAAAAAGTCCTGTCCACCAGCCAGCCAGGTGATCTTGACTTTGACTTGTATCCTTGCCTGCAAGTGGATGATCATAGCTACCATGACTGTTGAGCTGACCCTGGGGTGGAGTGTTCTTTCTCTAAGTAGCTGGTCGGTGCTTCTGTGTGATATGTTAGTCCTGTCTTACAGGTGGGCAAACGAGCACAGAGGGGCCAAGCAACTTGTTCAAGGTCACCCAGCCAGAGAGTACTAGAGCCGTTACTTGAACCCAGATGGTCCAGCTGCAAGGCTCACATGCTTAGACTGCTGAGATGCTGTTCCCTGGTAGGTGACATGATGCATGACAGTA